ACACACTGCCGCTGGGGAGGAAGGACTGCACCTTCAGCCCCCTGGGATACACACTGCCGCTGGGGAGGAAGGACTGCACCTTCAGCTCCCTGGGATACACACTGCCGCTGGGGAGGAAGGACTGCACCTTCAGCTCCCTGGGATACACACTGCCGCTGGGAGGAAGGACTGCACCTTCAGCTCCCTGGGACTTAATCTGCCGCTGGGGAGGAAGGACGACTCCTTCAGCTCCCTGGGGTACACCTTTGAGTCCCCTCGTGGAACGACTCTGCCACCGATAGGGCTTTCCATACCTTGGCTGATCTGCCATGAACTGCAGGTACCACCTACCTGGCCCCCACGAGCCGCAACGCATTTCCTCCGGGGTTAAATATCCAAAGACAGCCGCGATGTGGTAAACCTCTGTCATACTGCCCTATGTGTAGCTGGGTACATGCTTCGCGCTTCGCTGAAGTTAGTTCTTTTGTAGATAGGGTCGCTGTACGGATACTAGCGTTGCCCTCAATTTGTAAATCCACGAACTGTGTCTCCGAGCTGCTTTACCTCGCACTAGGACGCCATCCCACCGCTTGCCACCAATGTAACGGATCACCTGGCACCCCCACTGGGTACCTCCGTTAAAGGATGCTCCTAGCGCTTCCTGAGGACTCCAAGCACTGCAGCAGACACCACAACCACCGAACCGGAGAAGCATATGAATCCTCTCAAGCATATGAATGCTGTAGACAGTTGAATAGGAACCATACAAATAGGTTTACTCTCCTAGCAGCCAAACTGGAACAGCATACAATAAATCCTTCCCCCAATAATGAGACGACACTTCACTTTGAGGGTTAAAACAGGAACTCCAGTGCTGGCACACCCAGCCTGGTTTTTATTACAATCCACAAAACATAGTACTGCCCACAGGGCGTTACAAAACAACCAATCAATCCGTACAATACACCCAGACACTCCCACACAAAATCCTCCCCTCTGCAGGTGATATGATTACTGAACACAATGGGTAATCTCATTATCACCGGCAGAGGAATACAGTTTTTATACAATATTTCTAACTTCTAAAATATACATGTCACAAACATAAAACATACATTTTCATAATCAATCCATTCAGGGGAACAAAATATAAAAAAATGGCACGAATCAGACCAGGGGTTCAAAAGTTAAGGGAAAGTCCTTTGTGACTAAATGAAGCATGGCTTTCTGGCCCAAACCAGTTTCAGAGTCTTCTATCCTGGAGAGTAATTCAATTACCTCCCAGGATAGACACAAGACTCCATTAAGCACATGGTTGCAAAAAGACACAAAACACTTTAAAATACATAAAGTCACATTTACACATAACACACAGACATTTCACATATCCCCAGATAGCTGGGATCTGAGTGTACATTATTAGATGAATGGCACTCAGATCACACAAATAAGCCTTTCTGCAGGGGAAATAAACGGTTTAACCTGCAGGGCCATAGTCCAAAGGGAGCAGGCGAGCAACCAGGCTTCTCCAGTTCACAGTGGCGAGGTTGGTTTCGCCACAAGTTAAGGCACCATTGCCATTCCAGTCCAATATAGTAATAGTGACCTTGCACATTCTTTAAAGGAAAAGTCAAGGCACCATTGCCATTCCAGTCCAATATAGTAATAGTGACCTTCACATTCTTACGGATTTTTTATACAGTTTGATAGCTTACCCGAATTCCACTGGATGCCTGTGGTTACCGCCCCTACTTTCTGGTATTCTCCTTTAGGAGAATCAAGTTTGATCTATAGAGCTAAGGAAGACCGTGCCGTACTAAACGATTTGGTCAATGTATGCAGTGTTTATTTGTGCTTTAGTCTTTTTTTTTTTTCAATTTGACAATTTTTATTTTCACTTACGAAGCAAACTTGGGATACAGAAGGAAGAAAGGGGGGGGGGGGGAACATCCCACATCTCGTTTTACATGACTTCCAGTTTAACATAGTACATAACATCGTGTATAACATCATATGCAGCATCACATGTAGTATCTTATGTAGCTTCCTATGTGACTTCGCCTACATTTCTCTGTTTCACAGCGGACTAGCCCGCCCTTTGTCTGCATTCGCCACGTCCTCCTGTCTCTGCTTAGGGACCTGCTTAGTCGCCCCGCTATCTATCATCTCTGTTTAGGTTTCCCTGAAGCGCCCTCTTGTACTCTCTGGAAGTTTGCCCTTGAACTAGCTTGCCGTTCCCTGCGTAGGGGGGGAGGGAAGTGGGCTGTGGGGGGGGGGTGTTTAGGGAGGGGAAAGACTGTGATATGCCCTCTTTCCCTACTGGTTTTGCTCTATTCTATACTCGCTATATTCATATCGTTTCCCTGCCCTTCTCTGGTGTTTCCGGTGATTCCTGTCTGTTCTCGCTCTTCCCCTGGGGTTCCAAGTCCCTGGGCTCCCCTCAGTCTTGAGGGATTCTTGTACGCTTGCTATGTAAATTCTACATGTCGGGCTGGGTCTGTGACAGTGGGCTAGTCTCCGTCTCTTCTCCTATCTCCTGGGGCGCGGTTTTGTCCTCCCACCTACTGTACGCTTCCTCAAACTTGCGCTTGTTACCTAAATTTTTCCTGGCTATGAGTTCGTAGTGTAAATTGGTGGAGATCTGTCTCGTTAGGGCTATTTTCGTCGGTGCCTTGTCTGACTTCCATTCTCTGGCTATAAGAGTCAGTGTCACTATTAGGATGTGAAAGACTAGAATTGTCTCACTGCCCTGGAATCTATCTATGTTCATGAACAGTAGGCCCATTTCTGGGGTGAGTGTAATATTATCCTCTAGTATCTCATTAAGTAACCTTTCAACCATCTCCCAATAAGGTCTAAGTGTTTCACACGTCCACCATATGTGATACATCGAACCTTCTGGTTCCCCACATCTCCAGCACTCGGCTGAGGTTCCTGGGTAAATTTTTGCCAGTTTTACTGGCACCATGTACCACCTGTAATATACCTTGCGCATTAATTCTAGACGGGACGTGCATGTGGTCCTTCCTTTGTGTGCCGTGGTGGCGCGTCTCCATTGGGTGTCCTCGAAGTGCTTCCCAATGTCTGCCTGCCACGCTGTACTAAATCTGTCTTTGTGTACGGGATCGCCTCTATTTAGGAGTGTGTAGCACAGGGAAATCAGGCCCCTCTTCTGCTTTGGGTTTAAGCAAGTCCTTTCAAACTCCGTGAGTGTGGTCTCCCCCTCTACTGTGGACTTTTGGGCCCCTAGCATGGATTTTAGTTGAAGATACGGGAATATCGATCTGAGGGGCAGTTCGAATCTCTCTTTAATGATGGGGAATGGGACTATCTGTTGTTCTTCCAGTAAGTCCCTCACATGTGTGCAGCCTCTCCTCGTCCATTCCCTATGGTCAAATGTGTTGTTTGCTACATGTAAGCATGATAGAGGTGTTGCCGGTGACCACGGTGTCGCAGAGAGCAGTGATTTGTGTGTTCTGTCCCAAGTCCTCAGTAATGTTTTCGTGGTGGGTAATATATTGGGTTGGTGGGAGCGTAGTGTTTTAGGTACCCACAACAAGCTGCGGAGGTCCGTCCCTTGAAGCCAATGGTTTTCTATTTCCAGCCATTGCGGGACCTGTGTTGGGGATTGGAACCCTAGCACTGGGGCTAGTAACGACGCCTGATAATAGATTTTGATATTTGGTAGGGCTAGACCCCCTTGGTGAGTGGGTCTATACAGGTGTTTGGCAGCTATTCTCACTCGTTTACGTGCCCATACGAATTTAGTAAGTATCGCCTGTGTTTTGGTTAAGTAGGATGTTGGAAGATCGATTTGCAGAGTTCGAAATAAGTATTGTAATTTGGGGAGGATAGACATTTTAAATGCTGCCATCCTGCCCAAAGACTGGCCTCTCTCTCTTTTTGTAGGGCTTCGTAGTTGGCCTTAAATAGTCCCCCCATTGTCTTTGTTAATTGAAGTCCCAGGAAAGAGACGCTGTCTGTCCTCCAGTCCATTACGAACTTCTCCCGCAATACCTGTAGGACGGCATCAGACATCCCAATCCCCATGGCCTGAGTTTTTGTCACATTTAGTTTGTAATAGGAGCTGTCTCCATATTCTCTTATGACAGTCAGTAGGTTTGGCAGTGAAATCAGTGGTTGTGTTAGGGTCAGGAGCACGTCATCCGCGAATAAGTTGGCTTTATATTCCTTTTCCCCAATCTGTACCCCGTGGATAGAGTCATGTTGCCTAATCTTTATTGCCAGTGGCTCTAAGGCCAGAACGTATAACAAGGGAGACAGGGGACATCCCTGTCTCGTGCCGTTTGAGATACTAAACGGGTTAGAAAGAAAACCTGCGTTAAGTACCTGGGCTGTCGGAGCGCTATATAACGCTTTGACCGCGGCTCTAAATTCTCCTGGTATTCCAAATTTTGTCAGGATTGCCTCCAGGAACCCCCAGTGCAGGCGGTCGAATGCCTTTTCGGCATCTAGGGAGATGACAATCCCTCCCCCCTTGTGTAGTTTGGGTAAACTGTGCAGTATATTCAGGACCTTGCGTGTGTTGTCCGCTCCCTGTCTCCCCAACACAAACCCAACTTGGTCTTTGTGGATTATCTGAGGTAGGAGACTGCTCAATCTCATCGCATATAGTTTGGCAAATATTTTCGCGTCGGTGTTAAGCAGGGATATGGGTCTGAAATTTTGTGGGATGGTGGGAGGCTTCCCTGGTTTCTGTAACGTTATGATGTGGGCCAAGAGCGTGTCTGGTGGTAATTTCTGTACAGCCGTCGCCTCTGTGAATGTGCGCACCAGGTGGGGTGTCAGTATGTGGTGGAATTGTTTGTAGTATGCATTGTCAAGTCCATCAGTGCCTGGGGCTTTGCCGTTTGGTAGCTGTTTTATTATGGTATGGAGTTCTTCCTCTGTGATGGGTCTAATGAGATCGGTCGCCTGTTGGGTCGTGATTCTTGGGAGATCAATCGTGTCCAAGTACTTATTTATGTGTTCCGCCGTGGGCTGGAATGTGGTGTCATGTTTGTTGATGTTGTACAAGTCGGCGTAATAGTTTGCAAATTCATTGCATATGTCTCTGGGTATCATTTTCTTCTCTCCCGTATGGGATATAAGAAAAGCTATTTTCTGGCTCGCCCTTCGTTCTTGCAGTCTCCTAGCTAATAGTCTACTAGCTTTGTTCCCTTGCGTGTATTGATTAATTTTCAACCTCTGTAGCATATATCCTGTTTGTTCTATTGCTTTTTGGTGTAGCTTGTTTATAATAGTGGTGATTTGTAATTTTAGCTCAGCAGAAGGGGAGATTTGGTTTTGTGTGTTTAATTGATACAATTCCTTCTGCCATTGCGTGGTCTGGGCCGAGAATTTTCTACGTAAATAGGACGCCCTCCTGATAAAGATACCCCTGACTACAGATTTATGTGCCGCCCATAGGGTGCCCTGGGATATATCTGGGGTAGCGTTCTCAGTGAAGTAGTTGGTCAAAGTCTCCTCTACCTCTTTCTTGAATGACGGATCATTCAACAGGGAGGCATTCAGCCTCCATGGGCTGCGGTGTTTATAATCATATTGGTCTCTTACTGACAGTGTAACCGGTGCGTGGTCCGACCATGTAATCTGTCCTATGACACAGTCTGTGATTTGGTTTAGGCTTTGGCCATGTATGAGAAACCCATCTATCCTCGAGTATGTGTTATGTACGTGGGAGAAGTGAGTGTACGTACGCTCCAAAGCGTGGGAAATCCGCCAGGTATCATAATAGTGGTGTAGGGAGAGGA